TCCGATCGGTGCCACTCAGCTTTTCTCAATCCGATTAGTAATAGTTATTTATAAAGGCAATAGGATGGAGTACCTATTGCGAGAATTGCTAAAGAATTTCAAAGGAAAAAAAAAAAAAAAAAAAAAAAAAGAAAAAGAAAAAAAGAACATTTGTAAAATTGAACAAGAAATAAGAAGATTGATCTTTTTTTTTTTCTTTAACAAAATTATTTTCTATGAATGAAAATAAATATTTCTGATTTTTATTACTTTCTCAGATACATGTATGTACGTCCGTGTGCACACATGTTTCACATCTTACATTATTTTATTACGACAGAATTAATTATTAGTTCATATCGAAAGATTAATATTTACTAGGTATAAATATAATATATATATATATATATATATATATATATAAGTTTAATACGGTGTAGATAATTCATAATAATTCGTTTAAGTAATAACATAGTTATATTAATTTATACCAAATATAACTATACTATGAATTATCTTATAATCTTATAAACTAACTTATGCGAACATATTAACTTCAATTTAATATATATTATTTTAATAGAATATAGTAAACATTGCATAAGTTAAATATAATATAAATCATTCATAGGATAATTCATTTTTTATATTAATAATAGTAACGTTACATAATTTCTACCTTCAAATAACAAAACTGATCGATCTGTAAAGAATTAATAATAATAAATCTTACGAATAAATTTGATACAAATTCAAATCGAGTTTCTGCGTATAATTCATTTTAATTTACTCTGTACTCTGATGAAGTTAAAAAAAGAAAAAAAGAATAAATAAAAAAAGAAAAAAAGAAAAATGAGCTGTCAGTGAACAGCAAATAAATATCAAATAACGAGGAGCAAGCTTTGATGAACGTGTTACTATGTCCATACACTTGTGTCCATACAGAGAGAAAGAGAGAGAGAAAGAGAGAGAAAGAGAGAAAGAGAGAAAGAGAGAGAGAGAGAGAGAGAGAGAGAGAGACATACACAGGAACCAATGATACAGGGATGAGGAACTTCGAAGTGTAACAGTGTCGAGGTCAATTGCTTACCAAGGATAAATCGTGAGGTGAATTTTGAAGCTCAGTGTAATTTGCATAAAACTGCAATAGTGAAACAGTGACAGGCTTCTGAGCTAATTACACGAGAGGACACAATCACACACAGTAACCCTATCCGATTGTTATTGTGGGTCTTCCTGTACTATTGAAACAGAGAGGAAGAGAGAGGGAGAGAAAGAGAGAAATAGAGAAATAGAAAAAGATTAGATTAAGGATCAAAGTATCATTCCCTTTGTTTTAAATTGTCGAGATTAACGAAAACAAGAGGGCCCTCCGTACCTCCCCTTCTACTTCTTCTCTTCTTCCCCCAAACCCAGCACACCCTATGTTACTTGGCTCGTTTTACAACGTTGTTAGAGTCGTTGATGAACCGGAAGAGAACGGAAACTGTACATTTGAAGAATTAAAGGGATGAGAGAAGGCATTTTTCGTGTTATAGCCTTGCCAAGTTTATTACTCTGAAAGTGATGATCTCACAGTTGTGATTGTATAAATGCATTGTCTCTTGAAACGTCCAAATGAGTGATATGATGAATGAATGAATGAATGAATGAATGAATGAATGAATGAATGAATGAATGTATGAATGAATGAATACTTAAATATAATCTCTAATTCTCTCCACTTCCCTTACTAATTTTTAAGATTAACATATCAAATGAGATGAATGCATTTTGTTCAATATTTATATCGATAGATTTATTTAAGAAATTTTGTAAACAATTATGCTTGAATATGATTAATTCGTCATCTAAGTTTACAACTAATTATTAATCAATTATTATTATTACTGTTGCTTTTTTATTTTGTGGCAAATATTTGAATGAAAATATAAATTGTTCAATATAAAAATATAAAATATAAAATTTATAATCACTTGTAACGTAATCGTCTGTCGTCTATGAGACAACAAAAAAGGAAAAAGAAAAAAGAAAAAAAAAAACAGAAAAAGGACAACAGGTATATAAACGAAGTACCATACTTCGTATAGTTTATTTCGT